AAAAAATACAAAGATATCCAAGATTTAAATATTTGTGCATTTACTTCAATTTAAGATTAACACCACAAATTCCTCATCATGGATTGGCTGTTTGGAAAGAAAATCTCACCGGATGAGATGCTGCGCAAGAACCAACGCGCCCTCAATCGAGCTATGCGTGATCTGGACAGGGAGCGAATGAAAATGGAGCAGCAGGAGAAAAAGATTATTGCGGACATAAAACGTATGGCCAAGGAAGGACAAATGGACGCAGTGAAAATTATGGCCAAGGATTTGGTACGCACACGGCGTTATGTGAAAAAGTTCATGCTGATGAAGGCCAACATACAAGCCGTTTCGCTGAAGATACAAACTTTGAAGTCCCAGAATACAATGGCGCAAGCGATGCGCGGTAAGTAGCAATCAATGGCTGCATGTAATGACGACATTGCCAAATTTTATAATGAGACAAAAATATCAAACGTTTTGTTTTGCTTTTACAATGATAGGCGTTACGAAGGCGATGCAAAATATGAATCGCCAAATGAATCTCCCACAAATTCAAAAAATATTGCATGAATTCGAAAAGCAATCCGAGATCATGGATATGAAAGAGGAAATGATTAACGAAGCTATGGACGATGCAATGGAGGATGAGGGTGATGAAGAGGAGACTGACGCAGTGGTTGCACAAGTGCTTGACGAACTTGGCTTGCAATTGGGCGAACAATTGGGAGACTTACCAACTGCCTCTGGCTCGCTGTCTATTGCAGGTGGTGTAAAGAATACACCAGCTGCAGTGGCAGCCGGCGGTGTGGGTGGGGGGCGGCGGAGGAAATGGTAATGGTGGTAACGGTGGTGGCGCTGCAGCTGCTGGGGGAAGTGGTGCTTCGTCACCAGTGTCTGATGCGGACGCCGACTTGCAGGCGCGTTTGGATAAACTTCGACGAGACTAGGGCGGGGATGCACCCCATTTAAGATGAGACCGCTTCTTACACTGGTTGTTTGCGCTTTGCTACACTTTTTTTTTATATTTTTTCTATTAAAATATGATTTTGATTTTTTTGTTTGCGAATACACGAGCTATTTGTCCTGTTATATGGTATTACAAACACGAAGTTTGGAAAGGGCGAAGTGCATTGTAGGAATGTATGCCTGTACAAGTATTTGAGCCCGCATATGAGAAAGAGCAATTGTAATTTGAAGTATAATAAATAACATTTATGTTTTACTTAATTATAAATTACTATTTCTATGTACAAAAAAAAAAAGAACAACTGACAATATTCTGGTAACTCGTTCAAAAACCGATCCAATCTGAATTATGTACATACGTATGTATGTACATATATTGCTCCTTTCATGACTAAACCTGGAGTATAGATGGGTACTAATTGGCAAATTAAGTATTCAAGTAGGCCGCTTAAGGTTATCACTCTGCACTTTCTATCTACCGTAATGCTAGTTCCAAGTGAAAATGAGCGGAAATATATTTGTTGATACAAGTGTTTTAAGCAACATCAATTACGATGGTATGTATTTACTATAAACATATGCATTTACTTAGGTATAAGTATACTTCTTCGTAACCCACATGTAACCTTAATTAAGATGCTTGCTGAGTAAACTTTTTTTATTTAAACGCGCAGTCTTGTGTACTCTTATCTTTGACTGCGTAATAGAGATATATGTACATACATACTTACTACATATGTGTACATACATATGGTCGTTTAAAGTACAAAAGTTTGCGTTTATAGTTGAGTTCGTCTGAAAATCCACCCTTTCAGATTATTTTTTCGTATATTTTATAACTTTTAAGTACATACTTACTGATAAATGATTTGCAAATATTGCTTTTGCCTTTTATCTACGGCTTTGCCCTATTATCAAAAACTTTAAGTAGATACATACGTATTTACTTTTCATGAAATTTATTTGCGTGTCTTAAGCCAAATTTCATACATTTCATTTTAAAATTGCCCTCAAACTGACCTCAACGTACTGACATCATAGGTGAACCACCAATGAATGAATATATATATATTAAATATATTTAATTTAAACATGGTCAACAAATACACAGAAAGTTAATATTGTAGCCACACTTAACTCTGTTTTGTGTTAAATACTTTTTTATAACATTTTGCTAGCATTCGTAAAACTTTCATATCGTATATACCTAGTACACACATGTATGTAGTGTTTGTATAATTAAGTATTTTATTTTCTAATATCCATTTTAAAATAAGTTAATGATCTTTTGTAACGATTTTCGCATCATTATACCGCCATATTATAACGCCAGGTAGCGTAGTTTATTAAATTACTACGAGTAGGTTTACTTGAAACCAGCAGCTGCAAATACTTCTTCAACTTGCTTAAATACTTCATTAGCTATTGGACTAGCATCGATTTTTTTCACTTTTCCTAATTGTTCGAAATGTTTGATAATTGGCAATGAATCATTGTTGTACGTTTGTATGCGCTTCTTTAAGCTCTCCAAGTTATCATCACTGCGACCAGAACCACTTTGACCTCGCGACAAGCAACGTTCCACGCACTTATCTTCACCACAATCGAAGAATAAGACAAATTGAAAATCTACTTTATCGCCCATCTGTCGTGTCCAACCATCCAGATTATCTTGATTACGTGGAAAACCATCAATAAGGAATTTGTGTTGGCCAGAGTTCTGCATCGCTTTCTCGAGCAGCGAGCATGTCACTTCAACGGGTACAATTTTACCATTGCGTATGTAATCTTCAATTAGCGTACCATATTCAGAACCCTGACGAGCACGTTCCTCCCGTAACAAATCGCCCGCAGAGAGATGTACAAATTGGTAACGCTCTACAATTTTGGAGCATTGCGTTCCTTTACCAGCACCGGGACCACCCAATACAAAAACGATTTGAGGCTTCTGTTCTGCTGGCATTTTGCGTTGATTTAATTTGGCGTTGGAACAGTGTGCAACTACTTTGTTGTTTAATAAATGTACAACTGATTTGTTATAAAACCGCGTAGGTACTAGTAATTGCTGCTGTGTTGCGATAATTTGACGGCAGGCGGATAAGGCTGTTGGATAATTGAACTTGGACAGGTCACGCTGCAAATAAGTGCCACCACATCTAAATGCTGCGCCAAGCATCAAATTGGTTTACCTGTATACGTGTACTGAAAGTGGTTGATTTTACCCTTCGTTTATATTTCCTCCTATAAAATTTTTCATCAGCTGTCTGGTGCGCGGACTTATCGACTTTTGGGCTTATTTGCTTGAAAGTTATTTGCGGTGTGCGGAATGGGCAATGTGTAGCTTCGACAATCATGTCGTCCCACTTTCTCAGCTACGTAAGTGAATTAAAATAAACAAGTGACAAATTTTAAATGATATATATATTTCACTCTCGCACATTTCCGGTGGGAAAAATGCAGTTTAAGAAAAAGACGGTGCATCTATGCGATCAAAGTGCAATAAATTTCAATAAGACTGGTTTTTAATTAATTATTCTATTAAACAAGATTTATGAAACAGTGGAGTATATTGGTTTTGCGGTTCTGCTGATAAGTGAAATATTTATAATCTAAATTTTGTGGTGGATACAATTCTACCCATCGTCTACAGGGTGCCTCAGATGGTAGGAAAATCTAACTGAAATAAATTTGGTTATGTTTTGATGATGCATTTTCGAACGTCTCTTTCGCAATTAATTTAGCTCATTCGGCATTTCTGTTTGTTTTAAAATTTGATCTACATATCGCACGTTTAATAATATAGAGATGTAACTCAAAATTTACTTTTTTGGAGATTTTATTATGCAATGTTCAGTCTAATAGATACCCAAACTTTCCAAATATGGCAAAGATATGTGTCTTTCCATATCTCTTTTTGTATACCAACTGTATGAATTGATAAAACTTTGATTGTGTTTTCCCACAAAATTTGAAATACGTCGTTATATATTGTTAAACGTGCGCTATATACAGGTCTGCTTTGTTTATTTACTGTATTTATGTATGTTCGTTTGGGTTTTATCATTTTAATTTTAATTGCATTTTAATTATGAAAAATGGTTTGCAACGCAACCAAAAAAATGATTTAAAACGCGACAAAAATAAAAGTTTGTTTATGAGCATGTACATATGTATGTTTGTCCGCAAATAAGTACCCCTAATCCAGCTTTCCAATAAAGTCACATGATAGAATTTTTGTAGCTACCAGTAGTGTGTATTAGATCACACATCACAGCACATATTCTGTGACCTCGTAATTAAATATTTTTACTTTGATACATACATCATATTTATTATTGGTTCTTAGTACAGCATAATTCTTTCTCGATATTTAATATTTGTCATAATTTTCGTCTATTATTCTTATAGTACTATCGCACAAATGCTGGGAGCAGAGTGGCAAATGTCAGATAACCAGTATGTCCTGGTAGCGTTGGAGGCGTTGAACACGTAAGCAATTTCTTCGTTTCTTTAGGCGTTTTAGCGGGTCCGGTTTTTTCATTAGCTGTATCAGTGTTGGGCTCATCCGCTTTCTGAGAAACGGGCTTCTGTAAGAAATTTGTAAAAATATATCTACATATGCAGTTGATGAATGTGCATAAGTTGGACTACCTTATGTTTAAGGAACTCTAAATCCAGTACTGGAATTGTTCTGGTTTTAACAATATGCTCCTGTTGCAGTACTTCCAATGATCGAATCTCTGTAAAACCATGCTCTTGTAGAGCAATGCAACACCGTTGCGACTGTTCAATACAAGGCGAAAAAGAGCAAAACCGTCCACCTACAGCAGCATCAATTAAAATTTGAGTTTAAAAGATAATAAATCGAATTTTCAGCGTACCCTCTGCCTTTAGTGTTTTCGCAGCAAAAGGTACGGCTAGTTGTGGGGCTGGCAAGTCCAAAAATACTGCATCCGCTTTTCCTTCCAATTCATTGCCGAAACCCAATTGACATACATCACGATGATAAACACTAACGAATTCACCTAAGCCATGTTGCTCAAATTCTTCCCGTGCTTGTTGTACTCGCGCTTCATGGAAATCGAATGTGTGTAAATGGCCATGTGGTTTTATGGCACGCAAAAAGTAATGCGACAGCGAACCAGAACCTGTACCTGATTCGACAATCACCGAACCAGGACGTACCTCAAGTTGAAAAAGTATCATACTAATATCAGGTGTATAAATGATTTGTGTCCGATGTGGTAATGTTTGTGTCCATAGCTCTGGATTTGGTTGCAATACATAAGCCCAGCCTTTGGATAGTTCCACTCGACTGCCATAGGCGACTCCAATTAAGTTTCGCACTTTTAATGCACCGTATGACGTTTGGAATATCTACATAAATAGAAGGTCGTTTATTATTTGTAGGAAAATAAATATCGAAACGCTTACATATTCAATTGTTTCGCCTTTCTTGTTTACTATGGTTGGAGTCGCTTGGATTGCATGCATTGAATTAACAGTAAGGTAGAGTATCACTGTGTCACCCTCTTCAATTAGGTCTTTTGGCTTCAGAAAACTCATTTTAGCATTAATTATAAACAAAATAAATCGTTTAGCAAATTTTATAGAGAAGCACGCCGTTTAGAATTTGTAAACAAACAATTTGACATTTGTTCGCCGGCAGGCCTGGGCCGGCAGCAGTGTTGCTGTTGCACGACTAAAGGGGCCATTTGACCCTTTTTCAAGAGCCTATACCCTTTGACCCGACGTTTAGAAAAATATATTTTTTGACACTTTTTCAAGATTATGTGCGACTTTTGCCCCTTTTCAAAGAGTTTTTTAGGAAATGTTAGTAAAGAAAAGCAAAAATAATATGGTGGCCCTTTTTTTTCGTCAATGATCCCTTTTTTGTGACTTTATAAAAACTTGAACGTCAACACTGGCCAATAGTTATCGGATGTTTCGTGCCTGACAAATTGACGGGTGACACAGATGATCAGAAAATAATGTATTTTTAGGGATTTTTAGAAAAAAAAAATAGCATGAATTGCATAACAATTATTATTCGGTTGTTATACTTTATCACAAGATGATGGTTTTGAGAAAAACCAACTCTTCTTATGCACAGCCACAAAACTTTGTGAAAAAAGATATCAGAGTGAAAAATTGTTGATGTTTACATTTGAAAGCAGAATCGTATTTTTATGTGAAGTGATGAAAAATGTTTACAATTCACGTTTTCACTGAACAGGAAGAGGCAACCTGGTTTTAATTTCATATGTTGTATGTTATGTATGTTATGTTGTATCATGTAATGTTAAGCTATGCTATGTGATCTATGCTATGCTATGTTAGTTATGTTTTGTTACGTCATTTCAAATTAATTTTAATAAACGAAAGACTTAAGCAACAAACTTGACAAATGAAAAACGCGCGAAAAAGAATTGTAAATCATAAGTATGAAAATGGTTATTTAAAATATGAAGCCAAAATACGGCGTAAATGTACTAACCTAAAAAAAAGTAGAATTCCCAGCAATAATCAAAACTAAATGGTTGCTCGTTTGTCAGTTGATTAAGCAACGGGATAAAAATCTTGATATGCCGGCCGCAAACGAAGCCGCAGCCGCAGCTGTAGACGTCATCGATGCTATGACCACAACTGACGCTACATACAAACATATGTATGCACATGTGCACACATGAGCAGTTGTGTAATTGTAGCTGCCGCAACTTGTGGCAAGTAGAAAAATCTCTCATGACATACAAGTGATGTGTGTGGAAAGTGCGCACCGCTGCTTGACCGCCGGCTGTACTACGGCTGGTGTGCACTGTACACAGTACTGACTGACTGACTGCCACACTGACTGCTATGCAAGTTGAAGGACCGACTACTGTCAGCAACAACCTCTTCGATGGCTGCAGTGTTGGTTGAATTGACTGTTGGACGGTTTGACAAAGCAGCTGCTGGGTTGACTGACTGACAGCCGCTGCTGATGATTTTTTGTTGACTGTTGTTGTGCTTGTTGCTAGTTTTAAGGTTTTTTGCCGATTTTTTTTTTTGATATGTCCAATGCGCGTCACTGGAAAATTCTGCATAATCAACACTTAATGTGCGTGGAGAAATAATAAAAAAAAAACCTTAGAAAAAGTGTCCAGCGCATTCTATATATGTATATGCATACAGACATACATACATATGTACATATATACTTACCACAAAATATTGGCCGCAGTCACAACGAAGCTCAGTGCCTGCAATGAGTGGAGATTGGCCACTGATCACGGCATTTATAGATCGAGGATTGTGGTAAGTGGTGGCTGACCCGATTCGCCCCATAACCTGACCATATAACCTGAACCCTAGCTGACCCAACGCATTAGGCCTTATGACGGCTGTGACTGCTATATTCTTAGCTACCAGTTCGACGGGTGACATTTAAAAAATGGCGTCCTTAGCGCTTACACTCCTCCTACTATGTGAGTGAGTCCAACTCAAACGGTGGAGTCTCGACTTTTTGCGCCATACAACAAGATGCCAACACAAATGACTCCGCTTCATACTTCCCAAGGTGACAACTGCAAGATGTCACCAAACTTTGCGTGAATAACTGGCGGAACATAGAAAAGAAAAGAGGCAAATGGCGAAGTTTTTTAGTCTCGGCCAAGACCGGCAAATGGGTGGAGGGTGTGAATAAAAGAAGACGTGCTTGAGGAAAAACCTCCATCGAGGCACACCAGAAGGCATATTTTGGAGTATATGAACAGGTTACATTCTTATATAGGTACATCGACCAACTAACGGCATTCATAGAAGGTCACTCATCATCTAACATGACTACAGTCTGGATATTGTAGCCGCCTAAGCAGCTACTTAGATGTATAGGCTCGACCCCGATATCTCCAATAAATGTCCGGCAAGTGGAGACTCGCCCCATGACACTAACCACGGCTTCACATGTCAGCTCGATCCTACTCTCTCTCGTCCAATCCCGCCGAAACGGCTCGTTTAGTGGATTACCGTAAGTCAAAGCTTTTTCATTATTACTATTATTACTTAAAAATATATGTATTTAAGTACATACAACTACATTCTTATGTAAATTTGTTTTATTTACGAGGAGGAAGCATTATAGATTTTACCCCGTCATTGTTATATTTTAATCCGAACTAAACCTCCTACCGTCCAGTAACGATTCCCCAGGTATTAGCGGCAGGTATTTCGTCGGTAGACGGCTTGAGCACGAATCTCACACATACGTCATACCTTATTGTTCTAGCGTATTCAGTTTGTTTGTCATTAAATATTACCACCGCATGGACCCTATGGGTCAAGATACTGGTTTAACTTTACCTTTCCATCACAACGGTTTAACCACGCTTCGAGATTTGGTATTATGTAGACGGTGGATCCAACGTCCCTTGCTGCTCGCATCCCGGCGCCTTTGTCTGTACGGCAGGGTTTTCTTTTTCGCTGTTACAGGTATTTTTTCCGGTGCTTCGAAGTTGGTTTCCTTAGCTAAAAAGTCTATCGGATGTGGGCCGGCGCGACAACCAGAGTGGCGTCTTCTACGTCTACGAGCGCAAATTCTATAATATATGTAGATGCCACACCACGCCTGTAGGACTTAGTATCGAGTGTATTTGCCCAAACTTGCGGATCATAAAGTGACACCGACTCGAACACTCCGGCTAAGAGTCGTCTCCTATTTTGTTTGGGACCACGTTCATGGGTTCATGGCGATATTTTCTATAGCTATTATTTTACAAATCTGTTGTTTCAATAACGATTTTACGATTTTTATGCATAAATCTCGATGCCTGGAGTTCAGGAGGTTTACCAAATCTCATTTTTGCCACAACGGCGATTTAGGCGGTTTTGCAACTGGTCTATGGGCGGTTTTGGAAAAACATCTACGCGATATGTGTGTGTGTGTGTGTGTGACCGTATGCATTCGAGTAAATTGCGTTAAATGGTCTGCATAATCACATCACATATTATTCCTGAATTGCGATTAATCTCGATTTGCAAGTAGGTAAAAACCCATTTAAGTGGACGTGAATGCACACATAAATACACACACACATTTGTGTGTGTATGAAACTATTTATGTACATTACATATGTATGTATGTATAAGTGCGCAACGATGAACTGCCAGGCGGGCAAATGCGGCAGACAAAAGTGGACAAAATCGCCTGACAATTAGTATGAAAATTTGCTAACAAACATTTGCCGGCGATCGGCGATCAGTCAGCGGAACAGCAAAAACAACAACAATGCACAGTTTAGTAATGTGCTAACGTGGAAATGTTGGCGGCGACAGCAACAAATGTGACGACAGACAATTTAGTGGCAGCAATGATGTTGCAGCAACAGCAATTCAGCCGCCTACCTGTGTATGTAGCAAGGAGGGTCCAGCAGTATGCAACAACAAAAACATGTTGCTATTGCAATTCAAGAAGACACCAAATAACACAACGCAACACATCACAACATCAATAATGAAGAGGAAGAGTTAGTGTGGAAGGAAGGATTGAAAGGGAAATAGCAGGGGGGGTAAGGTGAGGAGCGGAGAGGAGCGCAAAGTAAGCTTATGCACGTTGTTATTTCTGCAAGTGTTCATACATACATACATACATACTTATGTATATAAGTATATGTAAGCACGTGTGTATTTGCTTGTGAATGCTTGCTTTCCAGCTAGCAGCACTTAACATCAATCAGCAACAGAAAACCGCAACAGAAGTTGACATATGAGTAAACAAGCAAGCAGTGCGTTAAAGAGGCGAATGAACGAAATCTGAAACACAAAGTTGTAAAGGCAGATGTAGGTATGTATGTACATACATACATACATAGATGAGCGCGAAGTAGGTGAACTTTCAAAAGAAAAACACCGCAAAGTGTAGACCAAAAACGGAATAGAATGGAATGGGGCGACTTGAATTCGCACTGAGAGACACTTACTAAATATCACAGCAAATGTGCATAAATGTTACTGTTTCCTGGCAATTTCTAGCGGCCAGTTGGTGTTTGCATTGTTGCTGTTGCTGTTGTTTTTGCCTGTTTACTGCGTCGACATTATATTTAGCTGCTAATGTTGAGACCAGAGATTTTTTCGTTACATACATATGCACGAGGTAGTGAAAAGCCAAGGCAGCCAGTAGGTACAAACATTTTATATATTCTGGTATAGACCGACTAGTTAGTTAACTAGTCTGAGATAATTAAAAGCGCAAAAAATTTTAAAATTTCGCAACAAATTTCGATTATGTCAGTTCGCTAAGAGGCGTTAAAGATTTTCCAAATAAAATGTTAGGAAAGTATTTTTAAATATCTTAATTTGAAATATAAGCAAAAAATGTGTGAAATTAAATGAAATAAATTCTTAAAAAAATGTTAAATGAAATTAAAAAATAGTAATCATAATAATAATTAAAAAAGCCGGAGAATGTAAACATTTTTTTTTCGAACTCTAAAATTTTCTGTAGTAAAATTGTTGCAACGAAATATAGTACACCTCTACCTTTACATCTTTAGGTAAATTAAAACTAAAACTTCTGATTTTAAATTCATTTGTAAAAAATATACAAAATTTTATTCAGTAAACATATTTTTCCTTTGTGAAAAAAGCAAAAAACAACAAGAAAAAATTAAGTTGAAATGGATTGTAAAGTATTGCGAAATTTAAAAATA